CCATAATTATAATATACTCATGTGACCCTCAATGTATGCAGTATTCGTCGGTGTTCCCTTTCCTTAGATATCCATAGCGTAGACCTTTCTAATATCGAACACTGTCTTTTACGTCGAAATAAGAAGATATGAAATGATTGCCAATGAGACAACTCTCAACCAGAGACCAAATGACATAGCAGTTAACAACTATAGGTCAACGCCTTCAACATTGAGCAAATCCCATACCACATTGTGTAGCTATAAAAGGTCCCAAAATGACAAATATAAAAGAATGTAAAAAGACTAACGGCCTGATTTATGTACAACACAATGAACGAAAAACTAACACGATATACAGTAACAAACAACAACCACTGAATTACTGGCTCCTGACTTGGGACAGGCACATACAGAATGAGGCGGGGATAAACTAATTTGTAGGTGTTAAACTTAGGACAGTAGTGTAACAGTACAACATAAAAACATAAAAACAAACAGGAGCCTGTTTTTCAGTGGTTGTCGTTTGTTGGTGTGGTTCATACGTGTTTCTTGTTTCTCGTTTTTTTATTTAGATTAGACCGTTGGTTTTCCTGTTTGAATTGTTTTATACTAGTCTTTTATATCTTGCTGTTCGCTTAGAGCCAAGACTTGGTGTTGAAGGCCGTACTTTGACCTATAATTGTTTACTTTTTACACAGTGTGACTTGGATGGATAGTTGTCTCATTGGCATTCATACCACATCTTCTTATTTATATTTAATAATCAGTTTTATAATAGAAAAACAAAGGATTTGGTGTATCCATCCATGACACAATTTATGGTTGTTATCCTAAAAGTCAGACATCATCCTTTTAAAAATCGTTTTCCACTGTCAACTTCCTAAAGTACTTTCCAATTAAAATATGTTTTTAATGTTACCATAGTTTTTATTATGGTACAATATGGTACAAGTTTTACAGATGGACGATAAATATTCGAAAAAAATTAAAGCAATATATGCACCCAGTAGACGCGCAAGTTTTAAATACAGAACATCATAATTACATACATTTACAGCAATATATTAAACCATGGTGTTTTTTATTTCTTTTTTTGATTTTTCAACATAACCAGAGGATGTTATAGTGTCTTTTATGGCTTGCAAATAATTAAATGAACAAATTGTAATACGAAGCTTTTGAGTGTAACGCTACGCTACCTTCACTACTTTTATTAATAATTATTATATTGTTATTTGATATTGAGATTGATATAATTCCATATTCACTCACTTTATACCTAAAGAATGAATAAATGCACACTTGAAAAAAAAAATGTTTTATAACATACAAAATGCTTGTTTGTATCAAGAACCTACTGTATCCGTTTACTGTAACTGTCTTTAAAGGGGTATTGAAATGTAATTTATACACTTTTTCTTCTAACTTCTGAAATTGGTTTTGATTTGGTTACTATGTTTATGGTCATTTTGGTCATATAGCCATTCACACGGTTTAATATGAGTGTATGACATTACTGATTGCGATGTTTTTTTGTTTTTTTTTTTTATTTTTTTTTGTTTTTTTTTTTTTGTTTTTTTTTATTTTTTTTATGGTTTAGTGTTTTATGCACTTGTGTTTTTTTATTACCAGTTTGGTATCTTTCGCCTCATTTATTCATAGAGTGGATCTAACCATTATCATCGACTTTCCTAAAGGGCTTCAAGCAATACTATATAAAAATAATGATATCAACCATCTAAATTTTTGGCTAGGGACTAACAACTCAACACGGGTAGGTGACTTCTGGGTACTCACTTACCCTTTTTGAAATAAATTTGGATAATTTTCTGTGGGCATCTTTTGTTTTATTCATTACGCATTATGAAAGGCCCAAATTTAACCATACAAAACAACTTTTACCAGAGATATAAAAAATATCCACAAAGAAAGAAGGTTATATAAATATGAGTTTAGAAGAATCTTAGCATTATAACATATCGATTTGAAAGACGAAAATACAAAACTAAACTGAACAGTATTCAACATAACCATACAGGTGGCTGTTATAACGTATTAAACTCCATAAAGTAAAGTCAGTAACGATACATTTGATTTTATCTATACGTTCTTACTACTGTTTGTTTCAAAAAGAGAGAAAAAAATGTCAAAAACAAGAAGATTAAAGAAGCCAGATCATTTAATTTTACATTCAGATATATTAATGCTGTTCTTTCCATTAACAATCCAAACTTTTCTGATTGGGTCCCATTAACATATGCTAGAGAACTAGAAATTAAAGAAACAACAGACATGGCTACCTCCGTCTCATTTTTAGACTTATACCTCGAATTTGACATAAGCGGTCATCTCAGTACCAAAATCTATGACAAACGAGACGATTTTAATTTTGAAATTATCAATTTCCCCCACCTTAGTAGCAATATACCAACTTCATCTCCATATCTGATATACATTTCTTAACTCATTCGGCATTCAAGAGCTTGCAGCTGCTACTCAGACTTTATAAAACGTTACCTGTGTTTAAGCAGAAAGTTGATGAACCAGGGTTATGTCAAAGAACGTCCCGTCCTTTTTCTAAAAAAGTTCATCGGAAGATACCAAGACCTTGTTGATAAATATTCCGTATCAACTTCAACAATAATACATGATGGTCTTGAAGTATAGATTATAGGTACTGACGTTGTTTATCATCTTAATTACGTGTTATAGTGTTCTTTTATATGTCTTTGCAAATTTTAAACCTTTACTGTATAGTCCGTTTATATAGCTCTGTAACTGTTTTGGATTTATAAATCCTTGGCTTTCAAATTTTCGACTTTGAACGTTCCTGATGAAGGTAAATCCAGAAAAGTGCTTCGGACGCATTTAATTTATAACGTGTTGTTTTCATTTTTTTGATAATATCCTCGGTATTTTTGCATCCCGCCATTGTGTTGGTGTGCTGTGATCATTTTTTTGTATTCTTGTGTTTCATTGTTGCTTATGTGCTTTATCTATATGCCATTTTGTTTTTCTTTGTCGACGTATTTGATTGTTTTTATAGTAATTATGATTGTAATACAATGTTAGCTGCTGTACCCCTACTTTTACCTATTATGTCTCTGTTTGTTTTGTTCACACATTGTTGTCAATTTAATGTCAGTTATTTTCCATTCGTTTGACGTATTTGAGCTTTTGATTTTGCCATTTGATAAGGAACTTTTCGATTTGAATTTTCCTTGGAGTTCGGTATTTTTGTTATTTTTCTTTTTCCAATAATATTAACCGTATTAATTGTATTGCACCTGATGCCCAATTCGACACAAAATGTCTCTTCAGTGATGTTCGAGGGCCAAAATATTTGAAAATCCAATTGAAGAGTTAATAAAACCAATAAGTTAAAAAAAAATTTCGACAAACCCGGGCAAGGCAGTAAAAACACTCCAAATGATCTAAAGATCGACTAGCTCGATACCTATCAAACAGAAGATAAACTCCGAATTGACAGACTTCTCTTTGTACTCATGTCACTAGTAAATGAAGTTTAGTCTGAAATGGTCGTTTTGATCTTTATATTTCCTGATAAAACTCAACAGTTTAGTCTATGGCTAGGAAAGAAATGGGCGCTGGCCAACATGTGTAACCCAGCCACATTCTATATGAGCCTGTCCAAAGTCAGAAGCCTGTTATTGAGTGGTTTCCGTTTGTTGTTGTTTCTCATATGTGTTTTTCGTTAATTTTTTGGTATAATTTGTTCTTCTAATGTACTGTTCTAGATAAGGAGAGGGTTGGACGCTCGCAAACACGTTTAATCCCGCTACATTCTATATGAGCCTGTTATTGAGTGGTTTTCGTTTGTTGCTGTTTCTCATATTTGTTTTTCGTTTATTGTTTTGTATATTTTTTTTTTTGTTGTGCCGTTGCACCACTGTTCCAGCAAAGGAGAGGGTTGGGCGTCGTTTTACATGTTTAACCCCGCCACATTTTGCATGTGCCTGTCTCAAGTCAGGAGCCTGTAATTCAGTGGTTGTCGTTTGTTGTTGTATATTGTATATACACTGTACAGATTTTAATTAACTGCAAGAGATGTCTCTGAACATTACTGAATAAATCTAGGTGAATAAATCTGAAAATTGACTAAAATCCTGAACATAACTTATCAGTGGACTGTTCAGTCCTCTAAAACCCACTTAACTTGAAATGTCCGTTTAAGTTGAAAAATCGATTTACCAGTGTGCGAAGCAGAATACATATAAATAAATTCATCATAGATACCAGGATAAAATGTCGTACGACAGACGCGCGTTTCGTCTACAAAAGACTCATAAGTGACGCTGGAATCAAAAAAGTTATGAAGGCCAAATTAGGTACGAAGTTGAAGAGCATTGAGGACCCAAAATCCCGAAAGTGTTTGCCAAATACAGTTAAGGCAATCTATTCCTGGGGAAGAAAACCCTTACTGAATTTATGATTATGACCACATCAATGATAATTCATGTCAACACAGACGTGCTGACTACTTGGTTATGATACACTCGGGGATAAACCTCCACCAGTAGTGGCATCGACCCAGTGGTTGTAAAAAAACTCATCATAGTTAAAACACTCTTAATGAGGAGTTTAGAGACATCGTGCTAAGTTCTTTAATTTATTCCCTTTCAGATGTATTGATAATATTCTGTCACTCAATATTGCTCAAATACATGCATCAATCATGAAATTTAATTTTAGAGTACTACCGAACCCACAAGGTATGCGTCCTATATTATTCTCCTTTATCGTGAAAAAAATTGATGTCTTCAAAACTACAATATTGTACAATCTGATAAAAATGATGATTGCCAGGATAGTTCGATTTGTTTTAGGAAATAAGTTACTTTTTAATTGTTTGTTTATTATTCAATATTCAGCTCTTTGTAATTTATGCATAAAATATCTCAATATAAGGTATCAAGCAAACTTGAAAAATGGTATAAAACATTTCGCATTTAGTGTACTAAACCTTGTATTTAAATATGTAATAAAACAAAACAAAATAATCAGAAATATTTATTGAAATTTAACATGTATTCCTGGAGGCCATGGCGCATGACATCTTAACTTCTCCTTCCAACTCATTGTTGCGTGTGCAGCTGGAACCTCTAACATACATTTCAGTATTGCATGAAGGGGTCATCGGATCATCCATGTCATCCTCCAAGTCAGGAATCTGTAAAATAAGATTAAAAATATTTAATGTACAATTAGTAAACATCAGTCTAAAGTAAAAACTCACATGTAATCGAAACAAATGATATGTTGGTCAGTGTTTAAAACAACTAAAATTTTCAACCAAGAAGCCTATTATTTAGGAAGTTACATAAATAGTTTGTAAGCGTAAAATCATATACAAGACAGTCCTAATTGGTAACGGTCAACTTAACCTGATGGAGTAACAGCATGGTTTACAGTTACTTCCAAAATAACAATCTCACCTGTATGAGAAGATGAAAATAATGTTTTTAATCTGAAACATGTATTAAAAACATCTGTGTAAGGACATTTTAGATGACGGTTGACATCAATTTTAATAAATGGGTTGGAATAACCTACCGGTATTCAAAAGTTTCATCAATACGATGTGATTATGTGTAGAAAAAGATATAGGTCCTTGCATTTTCAACTTTACATACATGAAAAGCAAAATTGTCGATTTCAAGAATTACACATAAATGACAAAAAAGAGTTCATTTATTTTTAAAAGCAGCTCCTGATTACAAGTTTGTGATTTTTTGTGTTTATCAGTGTTATTCAGTGGGATATATTTCAACATTGTAATCATTGAATCAGTTATACTTAAAGTATAATCATACTCTTTTTTTGTTAGTTTTAAAGTAGCTATATAATACTAATACATCTTGTATTAGCTACTTATAGTATACGTTTTCCTTAATATTGTTACCTTGTGTCTATGTTCAACATCATCGTGTATTGGACCGGAAAGGAAAACCGATGTAATTGGGGTTTTTTTTTATATTATTATTTGCATTTCAACAAATTGAACAGTTTTTAAGGAGTTGTTCAGAAACATGACTTTAAAATGCCCAATAATCATTTCAAATATTTCTAGGTACCATTTTGTTTATACGACTATTCATATAATAAAAAAGGCATATTAAGTGTTTGAGGTGTTTGTGCCATACAGTAAATATCGATACACAGATATGCCAAATTATACTTTGTTTTGTGATAAATGTTAAACCTTGATGTTATATTTTACTCTAAAACAGTTGTTTACGACGAAAGACTTATTTAGGCCAAGCATTGATCCTTATACTGGTCCTTATACTGTTTGATACATGATCAGCAATTATGATCAACCAATGATTGATGACTCTAATGTGAACCTTTCTGCCATGAATTGTTTACAAGTGAGATGTTTGGCTAGCTATTAAACCAGGTTTAATCAACCGTTTTCTACATAAGGAAATGCCTGTTCCAAGTCAGGAATATGACAGTAGTTTTCCATTCTTTCGATGTGTCTGAGCTTTTGATTTTGCCAATTGTTAAAGGACTTTTCCTTGGAGTTCGGTATTTTTATTTTTTTCTTACTAGATCAGATGATTTTTGTAAATTGTTAATTTATTTGTATGAATTTGTTATTTTGACGTTAACTATTCGATTAAATTTCTAGGGAGTTTAATTGAATTATTATATTATTTTACATGAGGCATGTTAAGAAAATGAAATTCAATATACAACAAATAATAATTTCAAGTCTGCATATATCTGAAAAGATGTATTATCCACTATCTATTGAAGCGTATACGTTCGTTGGTGATGTGCACCTAAGAGCAAAATCTTTTAAGCAAAATCTTTTAGAAAAAGATACAAAAAAGTGTAGAAATACACCAAATGTTTTTAATCTTCATCTTTATTTTGTCAAACTATTTTTGATGAACACAAAAATACAATCGATGTAATTTTATTTAAAGGATTTTACCTTTTTTGTGTTCCCCTTCCTAACTGCCTTTAATATTTCTTCTTTATCAACTTCGTCGATATGCAGCTGCTCATCTTCAATGTTGTTCCAAGAATTAACAACAACTTGATAATTTGGTGGAATTAGTTTGTTTTTTGACCCAACTCTGTGTTCGAAAGTCTGGAAAAAGATTAAAAAAGAAAAACAAAGAATTAATTCAAAACATATCAAAAACTAAACTAACTTTTACCTCATATTTATGTTGAAATTGTAAGTGTTGAGTAAAACAATCATTAAGTGTTGTATTTTACATGTTTTATCTGCTTTTAAATATTTACACATGTACTAAATTGTAATCAATTCGTTTGTGCGAAATTAACACATAGATGACGCTGCATACTACACACACGTAACCATGGAACAACACGATGAATAAATAATGATTGATCGGGATCCCAAACGTGTTCAAGATGATGTTGCTGAATTGAATTATCAGCGGTAATCAGACATTGAAAGGCATTGTAATTTTTGTTTAGGGGCCAGTTGAAGCCCTTCTCCGGGTGTTGGATTTTCTAGCTGTGTTGAAGACCCGTTGGTGGCCTTAGGCTGTTTTATGCCCTTTGATCGGGTTGATGTCTTTTTGACAAATTCTCCGTTTCTATTCTCAATGTTATTGTAGGTTGGTTAAATCTTTTTCCCTAAATTAGATTGTCGTCTTCATCTTATATATCATTTTGAATTATTAAACAATCGCATAATTGATGGAAAGAAATGTGTACGCTCCGACGAAGACAGCATTTTTTTCACCAGATCGGCAGTGTAGGGGTATATAAAACTAACTTGAATTCAATAGTTAGGGAGGCTTAGCTAGCTATAAAACCAGGTTTTACCCACTATTTTCTATTTGTCAGATTTAAAAGGTATCTCTTAAATAATTTAGATAATTATATGGAGTTTCTCAGTTTTTTTGTTAAATACATAAAATATGTTTTTTCAAATCTTTTTTATATGGTATGACACATAGTGTATTTAATATGTTTTCATTTACACATTGAAAACGGTAAGGATTGGTTGAATTAAATATTTTGCTCTCTTTCACAGTTTTAATTAAAAAATAATCTGTATTTCGGTGAGAGCACAAAAATTGATCGTTCCTGATATACTCTTACATCTTTCCTCGGGTACGGCATATTATTGTCACCAAAGGTCTTCATCTGCATAAGGCTAACGAAGTCATCGTTCCTCTCGTTCGGATAACCACTGATTCCAAAGTTCCAATCGTCTGTCTTTAAAGCTTGTCCACTCTTAAAAATAAACAATAAATTATTGTTATCCTGATATGTATTTCAAGTCTTCTTGTGTAATATGAATATGTCCATTCGAGTATCTACCTTTTTGTACTTTTGACCTTGAATTAAACTCTGCTGAACTTTGCGTTATTTCAATACAATTCTGTTAACTACAACTTAACTGTTTATATTTTGATTCTACTCTATTCAAAACCAATGTACACTTTCTCCGAATCATTAATGATTGTTTTACAACAATCTGTAGTTTCACTTGATTTCAGTTTTTTATTGGTCAAAATTCAGTTGTGACGTAAACTAATTGAATAACACTGCTGTGAAGTCACGAAAAAATGCGACAATGTCTGGTGACGTCACATGGAAAACAGTTTTCCACATTATCCAAAAAATAACGACGACGTTTATATTATCTTAATTTATAGGAGAAATAGATAACACCGCGGTTAGACATTTTTCCTCATTCTATACATCGGATTTTAAATTTAAAAAGATCACTGCTCGAGAAAAATTTTTTTTATTACGCTCGACATTCCAGGTAGAAATGGCATTTCTAAATATATTTATGAACGTTATACTAATATCGGATAATCAACAATGTTTTATTGTTAAATAACTGATCACCCTAAAACTAAAAAACAAATATGTAAATCTTCACCAACTATAATTTGTATTAAGGAAGTTTGTAATTAGTATAAACTAAATCAAGTAATAAACTTATTATATTATATACAGATTTTAATATCTTGCATTCATATGAAAAATGAAGAGGCTGAAAATGTAATTTTACCTATCTTATAATCAAGCACAAGGATGTTCCATGATTTCGATTGATTTGAAAATGAAATATCTATTGCAAATCTCTTCATTCATGAATTTTGTAATTTCGAATGTCAGCATCAATTATCATTGATGTTTTCAAGGCACTTGTTGCAATCAATACCAAAATTTAAGGTTCATTAAAATAAATGCAAATTGATCAAGTTTTTAATGTAATACTTAAAAGTATCATGTTTGACAAAACACAAAATAAAGGGACAGTGCTCGTCATACACTCAGCCAAAACCCCAAATAAAGCCATAATTTGACGACAGCATCTAGCACCCTGATCTGATTTCTTTTCATTCATTTATTACCAAATAAACTATGGCAAAAATAAACTGACAAACAAAGATCTCTGTTACCAATCTGAAATATATTCTCGAAGGCTGCAATGTGAGTTGTCACATTAACCATAATTTCTTTTGGGGTTGCTCACCAAATTTGTCAATATAACGGAACTCAACAACTGTCATATAAATAGAGGTTAAGTTAGCTATAAAACCAGGTTTAACCCACTACTTTCTTCGGAAAATGCCTGTACCAAAATCAGAAATATGACAGTTGTTTTTTCACTCGTTCCGTTGGTTGATAACGTTTGATTTTGTCAGTTTTATGGACTTCTTCTTTTTGAACTTGCCTTGGAGTTCAGTATTTTTATTTTACTTTTTTGACTTGTTCATATTCTTGTCCTTTTGTATTTGTTGGATGGTTGTCCTTGGAAAATATACCAAATCTCCTTATTTGTTAGGGCTACACTTCATAAGACAAACTCATCTTAAATGTGTCATCTGCCATAGATGTTAAAAATTGCAAAAATGATACACTACCGAAAATCTATCCAAATATGTATTTAGTAACAGTAATCTGTAATTAAAATGTTTTACTATTATTATATGTAATCAAAGCAGACAATCTGGAAACAACATCTTTTTTAAACAGACCAGATTTATTGACATCCTATCATTACAAATATGACACAACAAAATATAGGCTAATCGTGAGACATGCACGGAATGAATATTGTCCTCCCCTAGGCCCTCTTTGAACTTCAATAAACAACATTATTCTGCATGATGCCAGCTGTTGCAGAACTTTTAATTTCGTTTCTTGATCAAAATTGCTTACCGGATTGTGATAGTTTTCAAATGCTCCCGAATCAAGATGTTTGTCTTCCAAGATTTGGTTAATAGCAGATATAGCTGCTGCATGTGCGTCATCTCCTAATGTGTCCAATACCATAGATTTGCTTGGTACAACATCCTATATTATAACATTGTATTGCATGATTAAAAGTTTTGCTTAATAAGAAATGATAAAATGCCGAAGCTATTTAGCTAGCTTCAAAAATGAAAATTGGCATTTACTAAACGAGTATAAGATATGAATATTAGTTGTGATCTTTCACCGGTTTTTCATTTTTTTTATTGCTTTAGCTTTACTCATTTGGGGTAGTTCATAAATGTTGTCCAACTGTTTATTTACTAACATTATCAACAACTGCCTCGTTCATTTGTTTACTCATATTGTTTCCCATTTTATCTTCTTTTTTCTGGAACTGAAAAGATAATGATATAAAATAGGTTATTCTAATATTCTAATAGGACGCCTTTCAAAAGATTTGGATCAACACCCGTGCTTAAATATGAAGAACATGCATGTCAGCTGATCGCCAACTTCATAGTTTGTTTCAGCTCTTCTTACTTTCTCCATTTCATAGGCAGTTATAAACAACTCGGAAACATTTAAATAAACCGCGATATGAATTTGTTTAAAGCTTGTTTTTTTATCTAAAAAGTAGATTCATTAAATGTATTCAGTAACAAAGTTGTAAATAATGTTGTTACACAAATACTTGTAGGAAAATGTAGGCGTTAGCACTGAGTGGCTGCATGATTTCAAAAGAACATTAGAAGAAATAGAATGGGAAGGGTTTTTTTTAATTTGAAATCTATGGGAATCCTTACAAACATTCTGATCGCCTTTAAAAGAAAAATTGTTAAAGGTTTTTTTTACCTTTTCGTCAATATTGGTTCTGTTTTAAAATTTTGATTGATTTTTCTCTTTATATCAGGATTATCATTATTTAATTGGTTAAACCAAATTTCATCGAATTTGATTCTTAGTCTCTTTAAGATAATTGATTTGATATTAGATATGTGTTCGTGTGTTATATTAAGATATTTTAAAATTGAATAAACAATTGAAAGCTTAATTAAAAAGAGAGAAGTATTTTGTTCTGATAATTTCACCTAAATTTGTTGATCATGTTAAGAAGAACGTCAAGAAACAAGGGGTATAAGACTACACGTGATATGGTCACATCCGTTCTTTGCTTTATTCACACTGAAATCTAGCTAACTTAAATTCAGAAAATGTTGCCTCAATTTTTACATTTTATAAAATTGACATTTCCCAATGTTATATTGTTTTCCCGTTTTTTGGTATCGGCATTACATGTAGATACTTGATAATATGAATATTAACCCTGCTTTGTACTAGATCGACACGCTGAGTCGGAATTTTAACGAGCTAATGCACAAGGTAACAGTCGGAAGGAAGACATATCACCTTACCCGGAAAAATTCCGAGCCGACCAGTCTTTGCTCTTACTCCTTAATGCCGCGTGCTAAGAGGAGAAGCAGCAAATACCAATTTTAAGGCCTCGAGGCGAACTTGCTACCACGAGACCACCGCGGCGGTTTACGCACGGTTTAGAAAGCTAAAGTAATATATATAAGTTGAAAAGTAGATTTAAGTGACAGTATTACATCGATGTTCAAATTTCATAAATCAGTTAAAAAGACAACAAAAGGTAACAACTAAAATTGAGGGAACAACATGGTCTTCATAAGGAGTGGGAACAGATGCGTGGACAAGGAAACGTCTCTTGCTAAAGATTATGCCAGCTTTGAATATGCAAATATACTTTTGTCATGTTTGTCTCCCCATTCTTTTTGACTGTGAATACGCTTGGAATGATTTAAAGATCAATTATAGATATCCACGAGGGTTGTCAGTGATGGAACAGGAATTAAGTACTCTTTCTAAGCACGTAGATTAATGCCGTCGTGTTTGTCTGTTTTCTTTGTCTTGTGGTTCTCCTAATTGGTATTTACTCCTATTTTGCATGCATGGTCTTGTAGGATTAACAGGAAATGAAAAAAGTATTGTTGATAGAATTTGCATTTCACTATATTTAGAGTATCCTTTTAAACTCTTTTAGAATTATTAATATAGATGAGCATACCGTGTTTAATCCATAGTTTCAATGATCGTCCTTTACGAGTTTTGCTTGCATAGAAGGAGCTCTCACCATGTCGATACATAAAACCTCACCCAGTTTTGGTTGTATAAATTCATGCGATTTCCTTAGTTTCGGTTTACTTCGATTTGTATCCTTTTACGGAATTTGACATTTGAACATCGATTACTTACAATTGCTTATTGAAACTTATTATTGTTTAAATTCATTTCAATCTTTGAATTATGCTCAATGAAAAATGACTGATATGCGTGCTAATAAATTGTTATAACATTTAGTTTAAATAATACTTGCCAATAATAATTTTGTCAAACACATTAAACGTAATACAATTAGGGCTTATAAAGACTGAAATATCGTGTACAAACCTAAATGAATTATATAAGCCTAAATTATGTTATTGAAATTGTATACGTTTTCAATGCGCATTACTGAAAATTGCAATTGATATAGTATATAAATAGTAACTTACTATTTTGGAATACCAAGATACGAAAGCAAAAGTACATTTTATCCGTTTATGCTTTTTTTTAATATATTGACAAAACTGTTGTTAAACATATTTTCCTAAGCCTAATTTTATGAAATCAAAACATAGAATTATTTCAAAAAGTGTATCCTTATTTCCAGCATAATTATAATTATTTCTGATTATGCCTCTTTGGTTTGTGTCATGTTCTATATCATTCTAAAAGAAAGTATAATTCCAGTCAAAAATTGTAGGAAAATATGGAAATAAAATATATATTTTAAGTTAACCAAATAATTAGATTAGATTTTGTGAAGGAACAAATCAACTTTCTGAACGAAACCGGATGCAATATTTCAAACATATTATTTGCTTTTTAGCTGTCGTGTATTTCTCATCTAAAAAACTATTTACTTATTCAAAACCCATTTAGATTATCACCTCTGTCAAGTTAAAGTTATAATTATAAGCCTGATATCTTTGATAAGTTTTTCATGAAATGAACAATTATCGTACTTTTTGCATAAATCATCTCAATTCTATCAAACAATATGGACAAAATGGTTTGCAATGTAAAGGAACATCATTTGTGTCGTTTTAATAGCAGGTTGCATAAAAGCAATATTAATAGCGTGAAAATATACAATTATTTACATAGACTTATGACACAGTTCAAATTCTGTATTAAGTTGAAACAACGAAAAAACCATAACAAATCACCATACAATAACGGCCGTATAACTTATTTTCTAAGTTTGAACTTTTAATTCTTGTTAATGGCATTGTTTTGACTTTAAGTAATAGTTAAAGTGCCTTCCCTTGAACATGAGGTATATGAGTTTTGTGTCATGATCTACTAAAGCATATTCTTTCAGTCCGATTTTAATCATTGATTTTGTAGACTTGATTTAGATGAGATGGTGATAATAGAAAATTATCAGTCAACTGAACACATCAAGCATGTTAAACAAACAAGAAATATATCAGTTCACAAATTAAAATACTTTCTTTTTGATCATGTACCTGAAGAGACAATATGTTTACCATGTTTTCAAACGTAAATTTTTTTTTATTGTAATTTTCGTAATTATCTATAATAAACATTTTCGGAAATTGCACTGATTGAATTAAATGTTCCCATTTTATCACAAATTTATCTCTGTGTTAAAACAACTGTGTAACACTATAAGTGTCTACATGTGATTGACCCGGAAGTCAAATTAATACAAATAAATATTCCTACAATGATCAAAATTATAAATAAACATTGAAAAATCTAAATCTCTTAATAGATTGATTGGAATGTGTATCGTCGAAACTGACCTTGAATCTCGTAACTGTTTATGGATATTCTCAAAAATCAAATCAAAGTTTTTAAGCAAAATAATCTTTCATTAATTACTTAATGTAATTAAAGAAAAACAATAATAACAGCGTTGTTCATATGCTTTAAGTCTTTCATGTGGTGTATATATTATTTTTTTGTTGTGATTCGATACACAATATCATTGTTTTATATTACAAATACAGAGTATATATTTACTGGTGACAGTTCCGACCTTTCTTCAACTTGGTTCCGTGTCATGTAAGATTTTCAGGCAATGTGCCCTCTGTAAACTTATTACAAATAATTTTTCAGAGACTTATCAGTCCACATCCTTGGTTATTTCATGAATTTACAGTTAAGAAATTCCATAAAAAGATAGTATTAACCTTTGTTTTGGGCTAATCAGCTCACACAACAAAACTTGACCAAATTTTAAAACTCAATCCATTCAACTTATAAAAGATCATTATCTGTCAGACAGAAAAAATATTACAATAAGGATGTGGACTAATGTGTCTCGGAATATTTTTTAATATAAGTTTACAGAAAGACAACTTCGTGAAAATCTGACGTGATGGGGAAATTATTTTAAAAAAATGTTTGAACGACACTTGAAAAATGTTTATCGTTGCGTACGTCATTCATCTGAGCAAAAATGAAATAATAGTGGGTGTTCAGGAAGGATTTGTTCAGATGAATGGCATACAAAACAATAACTATATTTTAACACAAATTACAAAATAATCTAATAGGAAGAACCTTGAAATACTACTTGGTGCAAATCATTGGAATTTGAATATCAAAGAAAAGTAAAAGGTCCAATATTAATTTTGGTATATTGCGTATGGCCATTTATTATACTTCAGCTGACTCCTCGAGCTCTGTAAATTATATCATTATTTAATTTAATTATTGAAAAAGAATGTTAATATCTTCATTTGTTATTATTTTGGTATCATTTTTTTAAACCATTCATTTTTTTCTAGTGTATACTTGTGTTTCAAACCACCAACATTTTGTAGATTAATCTACTTTCTATAATGTCGATAAATTCTTGTGTTATGCAGCTAAACGAGGAGAAGAACTTAAAACAATTAAAACAACACTTTATAAATTACAAACGTTCGAAGTGTTTTTTTGTGGATTTACCCTCGTCTGGAATGCACAAAGCCGAAGATTTGAAAGTCAAAAATGTATAAGAACCTACACAGAAGAGCTTTATGACTAAAAGGACTAAACAAAACTTTCAAATAAGCTTTTTTGTAATTGATTGCAGAAATCTAGACCCAAAATAAATTAGTTCTTACAGTTATTATTCATTTAAATTTTGTATGATTTGATTTTGTATTTGAAATGAATTAGTGTTAAGAATTCTAATTGAATCCATGTTATACACCCTCATGAAATGCGGTTTATTTTAAAGTTTGGGAATAAACAAGAGAAACGTAACAAAATTAAGATTAATTTGAAAAGATAATATATATACTATTGGCATACATCTTTTAAATATGAAATTATAAAGTATCAAATCAAAAACCTGAATAGCCTTGTTAAAATTGCAGACATACATATGCAAACGTAAGGGTGAAACTGGCATAAAATTTGCCGGTCAAATTGTCCTTAATTAACATCAAGAGTCATTAAATACATTGAAAACGATTATTATTTTGAGTTGTTTACGGTAAATATTGTGATTGTGTTATAAGTACTTACATTTTAACTTCAGTTAATAATTTAATATGGCTGCCGCATAAACTGCGTAAAAGACAATATTACCTCATATACTATATCGGCAGTATTATTAATTTTAAGTAAATTTTATTGGTTGAACTGACTTCCGTTTTTATTACTTTCAGCTCGATTTTTTATGTAGAAAACCAGTTGGCAACGTTAAATACATTATCACTATTTCAGTGATAAAGGATCAAATTATTTGAAAAGGAATGATATTTCATTTTGAATTTGCTGATTTTCTACAGACATATACATCTAAAGTCATTTGGTACTTGAAATGCGAAGTAAAAATTGAGCTGATCAATTAAGATATAAAACTGAACATATGAAATATGAATTTTACGATTTGAATATTTTTTTTTATTTCTCTGTGTATGAACAATTCATAACTCTTACACAATAAGTGTGTCAGTCAACCCAGTTTATTATTTATAAAGACAATATATTGAAACGAAACCGAAAGAAGAATCATTTCCAAAAAACAATCACACGTTAGTACATGTACATATGAAATATAGTTCTATTATATATAGTTCAAAGTAAATTTAAAAATAAACTTTTTTTAAATTGTGTAATATTTATTTACAACTTTATCAGTGCAGCTTCTATTCTTATAATATTTACTCAAAGGGCATCCCCATTTCAAATGCAAATAGAACACATAACATTCATTTGATATCATGAATCACTAATCAGTGTTGTACTATCAAAACAGATACTGCTGAATATGTAATACATATACTTCTTTTTTAAATTCAAATATTCCTTTTACAATCGGATAATTAAATATTGTTAAATTTCACAGAAGAAATCCTTATACAATGTATGACTTTTTCTGTTTTGCATCAATGAGTTAAAACAAAATATTATTGGTCATATATAAAATACATAAATATATGAAATTAAATTAAATAATTTACCTCACATATATCACATTCACGTATAATATAAATGAATGTTTTATAATAGACATTTAGGATATATATTGTTTCAATATATTGATTACATAATTTAATCAGTGCAGTCTGTTAATTGTTAAACAGTGGTTAATAAATATATTATATTTTTTCCTAAATAGACATCTCTTCCAACTGCATTGTTTTTCTATGGAAAAGTTCAAATCCCATTTATCGCCCTTATTTCGAAATTAAGATGATACAATAAGTTTGGGCGAACAAAGTAGTTCTTCGCTTACAGAATTGCTTAAAGTTAATATTTGTGTCATTTTGTAGGAAACTTTAATATTTAAATCCAAAATATAGACTTGCTCCTATGTACTGTATGCCATCACAGTTAGTTTTTTTAGTTTCCACTTTTGTAGATATTAATTTGTTCCTCGTCAGTTTGGTTACATTGCCAGATTATACATGATATATAATGAGACTATATTTGGTCATGTTTTAAGGTGCTTAAAACATTTTTTAATCAGCAGTGTTGTATGTCTTTGGTGTATGTTTACACCTTTTTGGCTGATTTGTGTCACATCAACCTATTACTATAAAAATACGAAGATGTGGTGTAATTGCCAATGAGACAACTCTCCACCAGAGACCAAATGACATACAAGTTGACAACTAGAGGTCACCGAACGACCTTCAACAATGAGCAAAACCCATACCGCATAGTCCGCTATAAAAGGCCCCGATCTGACAAATGTAAAACAATTCAAACTAACGGCCTGATTTATGTTAAAAAAAAACAATAAACGAAATACAAATATGAAATACAGCAAAAAACGACAACCACTGAAATACAGGCTCCTGACTTGGGACAGGCACATACAGAATGTGACGGGGTTAAATATGTTAGCGGGCGCCCAAGCCTCCCCTAACCTGAGACAGCGGTGTAACAGTACCACATATCAATAAACTATAAAAATCAGTTGATAAGGGCTTAACTCATCAGATCACAAAAACACAGTCTGTTCACCCGATTTTGTCAATTTTGTAAATGTAACTATAAGCAACCGTCATACAAGTTGTAGGATTAGCTAGCTATCAAACCAGGTTTTAACCATCATTTTCATCGGAAAATCATCGGAAAATGTTTGTACCAAGTCAGGAATGTGGCAGCTGTTTTTCACTTGTTCCGTTGATTGATAGCCTTATATTTTTTTTCAGTTTTTTAGTACTTCTCCTTTTTGAATTTGTCTTGGAATTGATATTTTTGTTATACATTTTTTTTCGTCCACAGATGGAAGAAGCACTCAAGTCCAGCGGTCGCATATCCAACCTTCGATCTCTTCATAAACATTCGTTAAAACTTCTCCCCAGTTTCAGGAATGTTTTATAAATATTAACTTGGTGCGTCCGACGCGCACTTTGGATTTACCTTCATAAGAAATGCTCAAAACCAGAATAATGGAAAGCAAGGGTGTACAAATATCTGAATATGTGCGTAACCATATGACCAAAATTAACTTAAAAGTATAACCAAAGCCTTTATGGTCAACAGAGAATTAAAGAAAAGCACGTTTTAAATCATGTCAGTATCAAAGCACCAACTACTACTACACTTGCGAAAAAAACATGCAGCTGCATTGAAACGGGTGTGATCTCAACATTCTCAAGAAGTGCGGAAACATAAATAATGTATGAGTATTTATAGATTTAAAAAAACTGTTCAAATTTAAAGTAATCATGTAAGTTGTTATTATTTTAACTTTGTTTAAACAACCTTTTGAACATAGTTCTACTTAAGACCATATATTCAACAAGAAACCACTGGCAAGTGTTCAGTGAGTGTTGCATTTTTTTTCAAATTCAAATAACAATTCAAGCGCCTTCCCTTGGTTTTAATTTTGTCAACTGTGTATAGGTCTTTTGTGTTCTGAATTTATGAACCATATTCTTTCAGTTCCATTTCATTCTTTGATTTTGTAGATTAAGATAAGATGATGATAATATTAGATTATCTGTCATGTGAATATGTTAAGCATTTTTAAAAACAAGATATCAGGTCATTTACCAAAAAAGGTATCTTTTTGATCAAACAGTTGAAGAGAAAATATATGTACATGCGTAAAACCCGCCTTGGTTTAACTTTTACACATGTTACAGGTCAACTTAACATTTGTTATTCTACTTTACGTAAATATCTTTCATAAACGTTTTCCGAAATTGCACTGATTGAATTAAATGTTCCCATTTTATCACATAATTATGTAACCTCTGTGTTAAAAAAGAGTGTGTATCACTATGAGTGTCCACATGCGATTTACACGGGAGTCAAATTGATATAAATAAACTTTATTACAAAGATCAAAATTATAAATAAACATGGAAATCTAAATCTTTTGATAGATCAATAGTTACGTGCATTGTCGAAACTGACCTTGAATCTCGTAACTGTTTCGGGATATTCTCAAAATTTTCATTTACTACAGTAATTAGTTATTGAGGTTCGATTAAAGTGTTCATCTAACATGTAAATCTATTTTCATTTTAAGGATAATTTACCTACATGTCATTTTGTTAATTCCAAACATAAAACCAAAGTTCTTGAGCAGTATAATGTTTTAATAATTGCAAAATGTTATTAAGAGCACCAATGTGTGCGTGGATTAATTTTGTGTTATTATTCGATACACAATATAGAGAAACCCTTTTTCAAGTGAAGGTCACAATCTTTTTTCAACTATTTTGCCCGTCACGTCAGATTTTAATGAAATTTTCCATCTGTAAACTTGTTACAAATAATTTCAGAGACACAATATTTCATATTTTTATAGTGAAGAAATTCCATTAAAAATCGTAAAAACCCTATGTTTTCACCTAATATGCTCATGTAACCAAACGTGACCAAACTTTAAAACTTGATTCATTCAACTTATAAAGGATCTTTCTCTGACACATAGAAAAATAATAGGATGTTCATGAAGGATTTGCTCAGATGAATGTCATACACATTTATAACACGTTTTCAACACAAAATACAATTAGTATAATTGAAAGAACCTAAACAATTTTTACTAATTTCTACTCTCCATAATGGCGAGACATTCTTATTTAAAATAGCTAAACGAGGAAAAGGATCTTAAAGAAATGAAACCACACTTTATGAATTACGAGCGTTTGAAGCACTTTTATGGATTAACCCTCGTCAGGAACGCTCAAAGCCGAATATTTGAAAGTCAAGGATGTATAAGAACCGAAACAGTTGAAGAGCTATATGACCAAAAGGATTTCAAAATAAAAGCCAAATCCATATAAGGACAGTTTTGCCTGACGAAATGTAAATCTCCGGTTTTCTTGTGATTTCAGCAAATGCATTCTCATCATTGGAGAAAAAGGCATGATTTTTTACCCCGTGCAACATAGAAAACATCTATCGGGAATAGAACATATACTACATAATGAATAATGAAAAGATGAGGAACATCAATAAAAGCACTTTTCAATTTGCGTATTGTGTGTTTTTTGCTGTGCATGTAATGATTTTGTGTGGATACCCCATATTCTTTGCTTTTCTTTTAAAGGAGCCTATAAAATAACAGATCTCCACCACATCTATTATCAATCAGTCTTAACAATATATCTAGTGAAATAAAACAGTATTGCATGAACAAGTAGAACTAATATTGCAATGTGACATCCGTCCGTGTGTTCAGTAATAAAGACTACTATATCATTCCGGTTTCAAATCCACTTTAGATTTAAAATTACATATGTATATGAATAGTTCAACTGTATTTCACCTCAATCATTGCGAAATTTTTTTTATTAAAATAAAACTTTAAAATAACCTTTTTTAAATTGATTGCAAAAAGTCTCGACCCATCTCAAAAAAAATTGTTCAAAAAATTATTATTCATTTACATTTTGTGGACGAAAAGTGTATTTGTATTTGTATGATTTTATATTTGAAATGAGTTACTGTTTAGAATTCCGGATGAACCCCTGTAATATACTTTCTTGTGAAAAGGGTAATTTTGAAGTGGGTGCATAAGCCAGAAAAACGCAGCCAAATGAAGAATAATTTAGATAAGATAATATTCTTACTACTGTCATAAAACGCCTGGATATAAAATTATGATG